AATTTGACCGCAAACACCAAAGTAAGGGGGGGGGGAACTAAGACAATAGGAGGATTAAAAGGGGATAAAGGACAGATGTAACATTAAAAGTCTGTACAAGAAAAGAAACCAAAACTAAGGTGGGGTGAAGCCAGTTAATGGGGTGGCAGGCTTAAGTGCCCTACTCACCACAGAGAGAGGAGGGGGCTCAGTCCATTAGCGCGCTGATCAAGGGAGCACAGGGTTGAGCTGCATTCAAGAGCACTACTCACTGCACAAAGAACATTGCATTTCATCGGAGACATACAATTAATTAAGTCTAATAATCTGGAGATTTTTAAATATTAAAAAAAATGTCATGTGACTTTGTGGAGTTTGAAAGATGTACTTGCCTTAATACGTAAATAACGAATCACTGTCTTTTTCAATAGTTCTCAGTCAAATGTAGTTTTTACTCCAAAAAGCTATGACGTGTTAATATTGTAAATGTTGTAACGCTGAGAGCATAAAGAGCATCTGAACTTATATTTGAATATGTGTTTCGTCTATACAACATAAAGATTAAATGCATGTCTCTTTGTTCATGCAGTTGTGAAAGGGGAAGCCAAAATGTCCTATGAACCATCTGGAATAGTGGACATGATCGACACGTTTGACCGGCCTGCTGATGCTTTTGCTAAAGGTGCCTATGCAGGTACCGACACGTATGCAGTTGGATTTGAGAATGAACCTGGTAAACGTATCCCCAAGGCCGGAGCCACAGCATCTGCAGGAGTGGGTCATACACGAGCTGAATTTAGCATTTTTGAAGCTGAGGCCAAAGGGCCCAATGCCAGCGTCGGAGCGGTGGCCTCTGCATCGTCTCTCAGTGCCGAAGTCTTCGCCAGAGCAGAAGTGGCCAGTGCTTCAGCCTCTGCTGGTCCTTTGACAGCTAAAGTCGGTCTGTCAGCAGACACCGGTGTCAGTGTTGGTGCTGGTAGTGTAGAGGCCAAGCTGCTGGGCTGTGGCTTCTCTGTTGGCCGTAAAACTGGCTTTTCTCTGTTCGGCACTGGGTTTGAATTCGATTTATGGTAGAATGCGTTGACAAGTTTATGACAAATGCATCTGTTTGTGATTGTGCTCTCTGTTCCAATTATTTGACGCAATTATAATTAAGACTTGCTTGTGGAAATGTATGATTTTACTGCAGATGAAGCAGTGTTTAATAATAGATGTGTACTGCTTTAATATAACATAAGCTAAATGTAATGTAATGTAATGAAAAACACTGATATAATAATGACATTAGGAACCTTTATGAAACTACAGTGCAAATATGATTGTTCCTTTTCCTGCCAACAACATCATGTAATGCCTTCCAATCAACTTCATCTTGGCTTGTTGACAATAAACTTCTCTGACACTCAAGCAATGTTGTTTTACTCCTTATAAATACTATACTGTATACTGTTGTATAAACAATAAAGCTATAATGGTATTGTTAAACAATACATATTTTAAAATAATATGCTTATTAAGACAAAAAGCAAAAGGAAATCAGTGACATCATTTTTTGTTAACACGTTGCAACCGTCACTTACAGTATCTGTGTTGCAGTATATGACTCTCTTTATGTAATCATCTTCAACTAGTATGGATAATTAGCAGGAGGATGTCAGTATAATATAAGAAGCAGACTTTGTTCACAAACTGTTATGCTAGCTGTTAAAGAAATCAATACACAGCTTTGTGTTAATGTAAGCATTTACTTTAGTAATGTTATATGTTTTTACTTATCATATAGTAGTCATTTCTTTGTAAAAGGTAAAATGCCAATTTAGGACCCTGAATTATTTTAGAGGTGTGATGATCAGATAATTCACCTGAAATCCAGACATGCCAACTTCACATAATGCAGCCATAGCTTTATGTTTGTATTGGTTGAAAAAGCACATGGGGGGCAATTGGCTTCAGAAAGGGTCTTCGGGGTATCTGCACTATCAAAGAAGAAAGGTAATGACTTTTAGAACTTTTGAATACCTCTTAAAAGGAAGAAAAATAAACTATAACCGTGTCAAATCAAAATCAATATATTAGACTGCAGTAAAGAACATTACTGAGCTTCACTGAATTTTAATAACTTAAATATTTGGTTTTCTCGTCCCCAATATCAGCGCTTAAATCAGGGTTGGATTAAAGAAAAATCTTGAAATGCAGATCACAGACATACAAGTACCTCCATTTACCAAGGGGATTGTACACAACCTGTTTAACTTACATTTAAATAAGTATAAAATGGAAAACGCTAAATAAGCAACTCTAATACATTCTTCCCCGGATTGAATTAAATGCTCCTAAAAATTACATTTTAAGCAAATGTGTGATATCAGTATGATTTAGAAGACGTTGTAGGCGAATATAACATGTCATCTTTGAGGATTAAGAACAGCAACTTTGCATTAGATCAAACCCATCTGAGGTTTTTTTATTATCTCGATTAGTTTACAAAACAACCAAAGTTCATAAAGTACTGCATTGAGGTGAATGATGTACAGACATGTATTACACACATTTTTACACGCAAAAATGATAGAAATGAGTTGTTCATTCAGTTTATATGTCCTATAGAAAGCTTTCTACAACAGAATTGCACGAGGCAGAAACACACAATGACACTCGGACGTAATAATGTTCTCCTGATCTCAGGGCTGCATGCGGATGGCTCCGTCCAGCATGATCACCTCGCCGTTGATCATTGGGTTCTCCGCCAGGGACGTCACCAGGTGGGCAAACTCAGCGGGGTCTCCCAGGCGGGGGGGGAAGGGCACCTGGCGTGCGAGGAAGGAGCGCACCTTCTCTGGAAGACCGGCCAGGAGGGGCGTGGAAAACAGACCTGGAAGAAAAAAAAGAGAACATGTTTTAGTATCCAAGAAAATGTCAGTTTAAAATCAGTGATCTTTGTGATTAGATCAAATTAAGACCTTTTTGAACATTAAAACATAAGTATACATGTTTCACCCTTAATCTGAAACCAGAGCCAAGTCTGCTCTGATTAGTTAGCTGCTTAAAAGATGTCCCGCCCCTTATCCTATCAAGAACAATGTATTGAAGCACTAGCCAATAGTGGTGCAGGATGACGTATTTGTGTAGGCCGACCAGGAAGTAAGCTGCGGATGGGTTCCCTCGACAAAAAAGCAATGGGATTTCTCCGTAGGCTACTACTTTTATAATTTTCGAATCATAAATCTATCTATCATAAATCTATTGATTAGATTTATGGTTCGAAAATTATAAAGGGTAGACATGTGGAGATTATCCGGCTGAACAAAACGTGCATTTATCAAACAGGTTCGTTTTCCACAGATTTTATTTTTTACAATATTCAAAAATCCTATGGAGAAATCCTACTGCTTTTTTGTCGAGGGAACCCATGCGCAGCTTACTACAAAAATACTTCATCCCTGCACCACTCTATAGAAGTGTGAGTGTTACATAGTGATGTCACTATGTTCCTGAAGTAAACAAATGAGTCCAATGGAGGCCTTTCAGGCAGGAGGGGAGTGTGGGAGAGAAACTCCCTCTGGAGGGAACTTTAGGATGTTAGTCTTTGCAGACCATTTACATGCACAGAAACATATAACACACTACAGGAAAGGGAAATCCCTAAAGCATAATAGGGCCTCTTTAATGATACTGAATCGGCAGCAATACATGTCTTCTAACCAAACCTTCATTTTACACTAACCGGGTGCTATGGTGATGACTCTGATGCCCATGGGGGCCAGATCTCGTGCGATGGGGAGGGTCATTCCAACGATGCCGCCTTTAGAAGCTGAATATGCTGCTTGGCCGACCTGGAGAGAAGAGGGAGAGCAAAATAAAGAGGAGAATCGGAGCGAACACAAAGTCATTTATTTTACGTGTGTGTTTGATAGTACCTGTCCGTCAAAGGCTGCCACACTGGCTGTGTTGATGATGCAGCCTCGGTGTCCATCGGCATCAGGCTCGTTCTTCCCCATCTCCCCCACCGCCAGACGGATCACATTAAAGGTTCCTCCAATGTTCACCTGCAGGGAACACAAAGAGAAGTCTAGTGAAGGAGGAAGTATTCAGATATTAGTCAAGTGATAGTATTTATAACACTTTGAGATGCCCCACTAATAGTAAAGTCCTGCATTCAAAACCACAAGACCAACACATGCAATACAGACCATAATACATTTCTGCTGTAATACCACTGCTTATCTGCAATATACACTTCAGTTCTTACAATTTGATAATGTTTCCGGCTCTTTCAATAGTTGATTAGGTTCACTCATTTATAAAAAAAGAACTGCACTATATGTTTTTACCATGGTGTATTTATTCGTTTTATTTAATAATGTGGTGGCTTTTTTATTTATCAAATGTGGATAAAGAATCAAACCATCCAGCTTTCTTTGTCGATAGCCTGAAGATAGGGAAAGGAGCATTCTGGCAGTAATGGATTATTGTCTTATAAAAGGTCATCATATAGAAAAACAGCCCTGTTGTCTGTGATAAATTTCCAACCTAAAATTATAATTTTTTTATATTTTTATAGTTTATTTAAATAAATAAACAACAGGAGATTTCAGAAACATTTGTCCTTCAATTTAGCAACATTTTTCAAATGACCAAATTTGTAAAATAAAGGTTTTTCACTGGAGAGAAGGGTAGAATATAGTATGTACAATATGTCTCCACTACATGTAGTGTAGTAGAGGTATAACGTTACATAAACCTTGAATGTGCTTTAGTAAATCTACCTAACTACATTCCACGACTGAAAGGGTAATAGAAATATAACTTTTCTTTTTACTTATGTTAAATGCATCCCTTCCTTGCGTACATCTTACATTGATCACGCGCTGGAAGTCCTTCAGGCTGTGTGCGGTCTTCTTGTTGAAGTTGTACGTTTTCATGGCGACAGCGATGCCGGCACAGTTCACCGCGAGGTCCAGCTTCCCAAACTTCTCTGTGGCCAGAGACACGGCCGACTGCACCTCTTCCTCCGACGTCACCTGACAATTCAATCAAGCCTGAGATTAATATCACCCACCACACATGTGTAAATATATACAGTTTAAATGCATCAAAAGAAGAAGTACATTTGTTGGTTTCATTTTTATGCAAGCAACTGTGAACAAAAACAGGTCACACACACACACACACACACACACACACACACACACACACACACACACACACGCACACGCACACACACACACAGTGTTGGATGTTGTGTGAGCGCCCTCTGCTGAGCGTAAAAACTCAGTATTAATGCAATGCATAGCCCTTCCACTTTTTAATTCTGATATATTGCACATATTTTTTTTTTTTTTTTAAGTGTAATTTCTCATACTGTTTTGAATATTTATATATTTCTTGTCAAATGTTATAACAGTCCTTTTTAATCCCCTTTATGTATGCACCATTTTACACCAAAGCAAATTCTTCGTATTCGTGAACCTACATGGCAAAAAACCTAGTTCTGCGAGGCAATTAAAACGTATTTTATTAATAAAAATATGAATGAAATCAATGACTGTTTTAAAATAACCATTAATTAAATGTTCAGCAATAGCTGTTAATACAAACATACACAATGTATCTATCACTCTATATAGTCGTTTTTCTTGCCAGAGGAAGAGTCTAACATTTGAATTCCACCTCCAGACCATTTTTAAAGTATGTAAACAATACTCAGGACTTGAATGGTATTGTAAATGCATTTTGATTTTGAATGAATGATTGTTTCTGGTAAGTTTTGGCCTCACGTCAGCAGGAGCGAAGGCACAGCGGGCCCCCAGACTGGCTGCCAGGGCTGCTCCGTCAGAGGAGGGCAGGTCCAGGATCACAGCGGACGCTCCCATCTGGATCAGATGCTCCACGGTGGCCCGGCCCAAACCCGACGCACCGCCCGTCACCAGACCCACCATACCCTACCCAGCATGCACATGGAGGGACCAGCGGGAGAAGGGGGGTTGAAGATATAGGAAACACAAGAAATTTAAAAAAAATCATTAGGAAAAAATATGGAAAAATACGGGTCACTGAGGAAGACGGGTGAAAAAAGGAACGCAATGATTAAATTCACACATTTGTGACCAAAGAATATTTGACGTTTTTAATCCAACATTTGGTCTAAATTCTTTAAATCTAATACAGAAATACTAATTCAGTTTTCATCATATCGAAAGTCACTTATTAATAGTGAGGATTCATGAAAAACGGGGGGGAAAATGCTAATGTTTTGTTTGTTTAACGTCTTGTAAAAATGTCTACACTTCACCTGTATGCATATCTTGGATGATGATTCAATGTTTTTCACGTCAGATATTTTTAACACTTCACCTTAGCGCATATATTTGATATTCTGCTTGAAAAATGAGGAAAAACTCCAACATTGTGTTCATTAAATCTCTTTTTTACTCATTTCATAAGGCAAATGTACATGATTTCAAAGCTTGAAAATGTACTCTATATTTTAAGTAAGTCTAAATAATGTTTCACCAAATAAATAATTATAGAAAAGAGAGATGAATGGATATTCATATCTTGAAAGTGTTGTTTATATATTAAAGGTAGGGTAGGTAAGTTTGAGAAACCGGCTCGAGATACACTTTTTGTTATATTCCATGGAATGCTCTTAACATCCCGATAGCAATGACAAAAAATCCATTAAAAAAATGTCATCTGTGGAAGCCGTAATACTGTAAATAGTACGACCAATCATTTTAGCCGGCCCGGCTAAAATAACTGGATGGCCTACCTGCCTGTCAGCCTTCCATCTGTGCACAAACTTATCTCGTGACCTCATTGGTCATGTGCGCGTTAGTGTGTGTTGGAGGAGGGGCTCTATAAGGAAGTGGCAGATTTTCTCCGGTTGTGTATTTTCAAATTCTAGCGATCTCGAGCCGGGTTGCGGTCGAATAGTCCATTTAGCTTAGGAACCTTCCTGACGGAGTGAAATGACCCGGAAGTCCCTCAGTGGCAGCCATGATAAGTGCCGTTCGAATTCTCTAAATTAAAAGGAAAGGAGGTTTCAAACTTCCTTTATAACCTCCTTTAGCTTAGGAACCACTGGACCTCCCTAACCGAAAGGAGAGGAGAAAATGCTGCCCCACAATGCCTTGCGGCCGCGGCATTTGCCGTCACACAACAGTCGGCCGTTCACGGAAACAACCGATTATGAACGAGAAATGATATCATGAAAGTTACGGTGCTTATTAAGCATTTTAAAACGTATGTGGTAAGTTGCCAAAGTGCTTTGTTTTGAACGTTCATCAGTATTATAATCAAAAAGAGAAATATGAACGTTAGTTTTTACTGAAATGATCAAATAAAGTCAATATTTCACAGTCTTTACTGAGCTGTGTGGGGTTTGTTCACTTTTAAAAGATGTTTGAATGGTGATATACACAGTGATAGATGTTAAGGACTAACGTTTATAATAAATACATTTGTATTGATTTTAAGATCTTTTCATACAATCATACGTATTGGGATCATTTGTATTAATGTGGACCGGAGGGAGACGGTGACATAAGTTTCACTTTCCTTTTTTATTTCAATTCCAACTTTGGTCATGAAGAATAAGTTTCTCTGTTGTCCCCGTTCATAAAGCATAAAACAACAGCATCAGAGCACGGTGCAGAGTCTCTAGATGAGTTTACAGTAGTCCCTCGTTCTTATTAAACATCCATGTTGTAGTCCGCTGTATAGAAAACTGTAGTTTCCATAGTTTCCCCACAGCAGCAGGCGCACATTTAGGACCTCGGCTGGCGCATCATAAACACGTCAGATAGTGAAAGTGCAGTCGGATTCCCTAAAGTACCGCAGTCTCTTCTCCTAAATCCTTTTGAATTCTCCTATCCACTATCCCTTAACCCCGTGACGTTTCACTCCGAGGTCAAGGAATAGACGATAGGGTTAGAACTTAGGAGCTGTTTTTTTGGAGTATTCGACCGCAACCTCTGGGTGTTTCTCAATCGCGAGTAAAGCTGCTTCAGAGCCACTATTTCAAGCATACTACGTCATCGAGTGCCGCCGAAGTACTGTTCCAATCTCCAGCATACTTGGAAATCTACCGAGCCCGGCGTACTCCGTTTGGAGAAATATCGAGGCTGCACATGAGTAGACTCCGCGGTCTTAAAATCCCCACAATGCTTTGCACACGGACCAATTTCCCCAAATCTGTGGCGGAAGATGTAAGGCAGGGCCTCTCATATGACGCACACCTGCACACTTGCTAGCGTGTTCCACACTTTGTTTTACGAATGCCAGGAAGTATTCTTGACTCGCTTCTGAAGCAAGATGCTCGGCAGACATGTGCTACCAAGCAAGCGTACTCGCGATTGAGAAACACCCTCGGAGTCGGCTTCTTCTTCTTCTTCTCTCGGTTTTTTGGCGGATTTCAAACAACTTTCAGGTGCATACCGCCACCTCCGGACTCGGCTTGACTCGGTTTGCATTTATAAATGCACACGGCATCTATTGCACGTCTGTCCGTCCTGGGAGAGGGATCCCTCCTCTGTTGCTCTCCCTGAGGTTTCTCCCATTTCCCCTTTAAACTGTGGGGTTTTCTCTGGAAGTTTTTCCTTGTATGATGTGAAACGTAAGGACAGAGGGTGTCGTATTGTCATACTGATATTCTGTACAAACTGTGAAGTCCACTGAGACAAATGTAACATTTGTGATATTGGTCTATATAAATAAACATTGATTGATTGATTGATTGATAAAGAATGGGCAAATGTGTTTAATCGTTAATGTCAGATATGTACTAAGTAAATATATTTGTTCCTGCTCAAGATTAGATTCAACTTTATTGTTATTGCACAGATTACAGGTACTGAGACTGTTAAGGAATAATTCTTCTAGATATCTAACCTTTTGCTCTGTGACGTTTTATGATCTACTCTGACGTCTGTTATCTCCTTTAAGGAAAGGCATTGGTGCCATATGTGTTGTTGTCACCAGTTTGTGACCGGTCAACTTGTCTGGCACGAAGGGTAATTGTTGTGAGAACACTGAGGCATTTCTTTATCGGTATTTGTGGACTCTAAGATGTGAAATCCTTGAGGCCATGAGTGTCGGACGCAGGTGGCTCAGTGTTCCCAGCTGTTTAGTCTACTCCTTCAGAGATGTTGATTTCTCTCTGTGAACCCGTTAAAAGGTCTAGCATAGAGAGAGGCTCTTCAGAATTGACGTGGCAACTCTACCGTGTAGTCAGAACCTCTGACTCTTTGATTTGTGATGTGAATCCGAATACTCTGAATAAACCCATCAGTGTTTGACATCAAAGCTCCAACTCTCACCGTGTCTCCTTCCTAAGTCGGTGACTCCATGCATTGCTACACAGAAGTTTCCTCCACAAATTGGCGTTGTCGGCAGGATACCAACAGATCTTCAGAACTGGTAAGTGTGATTTCAAATCTACATTTGGACATTGCCTTACCAGAATCTGTGATTGACGGTATCCTAAAATTATCTGTGAAGCAGAGCGGCTGTGTTTCGTTTTGGTTAGTGAACATTTGGGGCTATTAACCCCAGGGGATCATCCAGGGACGCTGACCTGGCTGATTTCCTCTGTGTGTGCTGCTCAGGACATATGTGCCGCACAGGCAGTAGCAGAGATGTTTTGCTGCTCGGGGCATATGTGCCGCACAGGCAGTCGCAGAGATGTTTAAAAAGACCTTAATGAGGGCATCTGTAAAGTGGAACTTCTGTGTGAAAGCAAAATAGAGATTTGTTGTGAACAAATCGCCGAAATTCTGGGGGTTTCAGCGATATTACCCCTATCGCCTCTAAAAAAAACACGGTTCCAGCTGCGGCTCCGGGGGTGTGTGTCCTCTGTGTGTGCTGCTCGTGACATATGTGCTGCACAGGCAGTAGCAGAGATGTTTTGCTGCTCGGGCATATGTACTGCACAGGCAGTCGCAGAGATGTAAAATGCCTCCCCGTATCTGCGTGGCTGGTGAAGTGCACTAAAGAGGGAGAAAGTCACAGCTTTTGTCTA